ACTGCCACACGCTGATCCCACAATCTGGATAGAATTTTTTTTTTTTTCTGTCATCAGTAGCATCTTCCCACTACTAACAAAACTGTGGCCATTCTGGAGACAAACCAGGCAGAGGAATACAGAGGGAAGAATATCAGTCCTTCTACAATGAGGCTTGGAGAAGGTGAGCACAAGCATGGAAACACACCTAATCACAGTGTTCTGCTTTTCAAAAGAAATACAAAGAGCTGACCTCAGCCTCACTAGCTTGGTGGATAACATGCTGTTTTATTCATAGGTCCTTGAAATGATTTAAATAAGACCCTTCACAAATGATTTAGAATTGTTTCACTTTTCAGGGAAAAAATATCCTCAGTTTCATATTCAACTAATTCTTCTCTTTAGAGTATCATTAAATAAGCTGAGAGTACAATGCTGGGGGACCAGCAGGTGGCGTGGTGGTTAAGGTGCTGGACACTCCCACATGGCCAACTATGGTTCTGGCCTACTAACATCTTCTTGACTTAAGAGTCAAAGGACACCAGGTTAGATTTGGTTTCTACAGACTTGTCTATAGCTAATGTAATTCAAATGAAGTTCTAATTTACCCTTAAAATATGTTTTCGTATGTCAGATTCAAAGGTGTGGGGTTTTTTAAATTTTATTATTATTATTTTTTTTATGCTCATTTATTTCTTCCATGAGTGAGTGAGAGAGAGGCAGGGACAGGGAGAAGCACTGCCCCAACAGGGTCTTGGCCCAGTTATCCACACCAGCTTTATAGTTAGCCCCAGATCATGGGCACGTACTTGTACTCAGGAATGTCCCTGGACATGACTCATGGACATGACCCCAGGATCTTCCCATGAGGTTCAGCATTGCATTGCACCATGTTTTACCACAGTGTCACCATCTGGCCCTTGTGTGTCAATTTTATGAGTAAGAAAAATACAAAAATGCAGCATGCATTGACACAGGAGAAAGAGCACTAGATCTGGAATGAAGCACTTGGGACCTCGACATCTTTAACTCATTTCATTCATGTGGAATATCTACTTACTTGAATCCTAGGAAAAGCCATTGGAGCCAGATCCAGGACAAGAACAGAATAAGAATAGCAACCGGGAAGGAAAACATAAACCATGATCCAAAGTTGAGGCAACGACAATCGGGGTAGCGTCTGTGAAAAAATATGAAAAAGTGTTCAAGGAAGAAAGACAAGGGGAGTCCTTTCTGATAGTCACTGAAAAGCAGTGATACCTATCCGTCCCATGTGGTGGGCTCAGAAGGAAGTCCTGGACCACACTCACCATTAAGTACAGTCACTAGTTTTACTGCTTACTTCCTGTCTTGAGTCTGTATTGCTTCATCTCACAGGCTCAGAGTAGTTTGTTCTGATTTTTATTTCTTTCATCAACCTCTAAGGACACATTTATATATAAAAAAAAAAAACCTAACACAGTACCAGATACTCATAAATGTGCAAGATGTGGATGTGCATGAGATGAAGGGCATCTTGTTACAACTCAAATCATCAGTATATGAGTGAGGGAAGACAGGCAGAAGAGGGAACAAGTGAAAATGAATGGAGGGGAATGTGTGGTATTGTATCTCAGCGGTACGTAGTATTCATGGCACCTATGAAGGGCCTGATTCAGCCTATACTGTCTCTCATGGTTGTTTTCCACCATTTCTTCTGCCTCTGGCCACTGCCACCATCTTACCAGGCACATGGTAGCCCTTTTTCCCTAGAGAGACAGTGCTTTGGGGCTCTGGGAATAACTCCAGGCAAGATAAAAGTATTACAAAGGTCCATGGAAAATGCTAATTTTTCCTTTATCTTTCCTAGTTATTTTCAACTTTTTAGCTTACATAATAACAAAACAACAACAAAAGATCAGATCTACCAGCACAGCATAGATTTTTTATAACCTTGCATTTTGTTTTAAGATGTAGTCTAAATATCAAATAAGGTCTCATGTAATTATCCACATTTTAACTATAGAAAAACAACAAAATTTTGAGAAATAGCTGTTGAAGCAGTAACACAAAGACAGAGTTAGGAATCTGAAAAATATAGAAGTAATAAAAGCATAATAAATGCATTTTTAACATTTTTGAAATCAGAAACATGGAGAAACTTACAGAAATACAGATGTTCAGTTCTTGTTCTATTTCAATCACATCTTGTATTTTTATTATTTAAGATAGATTATGTAAATTAACTTTCATGCTACATATATGTAGCAAATCTATATATTTTATACTGTTCCTTGCTCTATTTTAAAATGGTCTCTAGCTGATGTAGACTTGAAAACAATGATAATATATTCTCAAAACTAGATTTCTAATGTTTTTAGCAATTTTCTTGCCATTTATAAAATGTTCCCGATTTCCCTAGGCTCTAGAATAATCATTGGCAACTTGAGGATAATTTTATCTATCTTGAAAAGATCCAAGGATTATCTTATGTATTTGTGCAATTAGAAAGTGGCAAGTGATAATAAGAAATGTTAGAAAACATGTAGAATTGGATGAATGGGAAAATGCTTTATCACATCCATGAGACTCTATTGAAAATTGCTCATTTTTGAAAACTGTTATTTCTGACTGGAAAATAAGAAATGGGGAGAAAGACTAATGCTGATTTTTCATCAATTTATTAGACTTAGATTATGAGACAGAGTATGTTATTGTGTTCAGCCTAAAGGGACTTAGAAATGCTACTTGGATTAGGTTTAGAGATGTGCTCCTAGCCTAATTTATTTTTTCCCACCATCTGTAGCTCATACCTTGAAATCTGACTGCCTGGTACACCCCACTCACTGGAGAGAATCCTGTAATATGTGCTTGACTGAAGAAGGACTTTCTAGAATTTTTTGCCTGGAGGGACAGTTCATTTAGAAAAAGACAAGCCAGAAAAAGTTAAACTTTGTTGTTTGTCTAGCATTTGTTTTTAACTTCAGTAGGAAGAAAGTACACAAAGGCCACATAGGATTGCGCTATGATCATACCTTCCATCCTCATACCTAGAGTGAGTATTTTGAATGAATAATGCAATGAATGGATACTCCGAGGGATTAATTTTTCTGAAAAATTCCTTTTCCCATTTTCCTCATATACTATAAGTGAAGTGACTGCAAATATGTGCCTAAACTATGCTAAGAAATTTAAATCGAATTAAAAAAAATCCATCTCTTTCACCCAGTGTGGGCCAGGAGCTCTTTGAGCTATGGGGATACCATGGCAAGTGAAATGGGCATGGCGCTGCTCCATGATGTTTTCATTAAAGTGGAGAACGCTGACAACAAATGGGTAAGTATATAACAAAACAGAAAAGCAAAACAGAATGATATAATGAGAAGTTACTAGGGGAAGAGAGAAAGTTCAGATAATGTGGTCAGAGGAGGCGATATTTGGGGTGAGAACTAAAATAGTCCCTTCTTATCCAGATTTCACTTTCTGCAGTTTCAGTTAATCGTGGTCAACTGTGGTCCAAAAATTGGTGCATTTAGTACAAGAGTATATTTCAAGAGAGAAACCACATTCACATAGCTTGTATTGTTGTATAGTTATAATTGTTTTACATTATATTAGTTATTGCTCTTCATCTTTTACTGTGACTTTTTCATAGGTATGTTTGTATAAGAAAAGACAGGGAAAAGTAGGGTTCAGTACATAGAACATATTTTTAGAACATATGCTTAGGGAGTGTCTTAGAATATATTCTTCATGGAAAAGGAGGGACTCCTGTGGCAATAAGAAGCCAATCATTTGAATAAGTGGGAAATGACAAGTATTAAATAGACAATGAAAATAGCAAGTATTAAAGGTCCTGAGTTAGGAATGAGTTTGAGTTTGGCATGTTTGAGAGCCAAACTCATATCAGGTCTTAGAACATATTCTCCAGGGAAAAGGGGGGACTGCTATGGTCATAAGGAGCCAATCATTTGATTAAGTGGGGAATAGCATTCCACACAATGGAGGTGGTAAGAACAAAGGCCTTGAGTTAAGAATGAGTTTGGCATGTTTGAGAGTCAGTAAAAAGGCCTGTGTGCTGTGGGTAATAAGCTCAGGTTATAGTGACATGAAATAAAATCCAAGGAGTAACCAATAGGAGTCAGATCATATATAAACTAAGGCCATCAGAAAGAACTCAGATTTGGGACCAGCAGCGTAATGGCTATGTCGCTGGACTTCCATGTAGTCGACTGTGATTCACCTCCTGGACCTGGTGGCTTAAAACTCACGCTGGGCGCCTCTGCGTGTGTGCCCAAGATCTTGAGAGGAGAATGGAGGAGAAGGGATTGAGGCATGGCCATCCCACCTGGGGTGTGATTTCTCGCTTTCTGTCTCTCTGTCTCTCTCTCTGTCTGGCGAGCACATGCGCCCTATAGCCAAAACCCCTCCAAAAAAAAAAAAAAAGAAAGAACTCAGATTTTATTACAAATGCAGTAAGAAGTAATAAGAACGTAATAATAATAAGTAACCTAGTGATGTAATCTGATTGGTGACTGACATAACACATGTTGGGTGCTAAGTGGATCCTAAGGATTGAAAGCAACAAGGATGGAAGCCAAGATGCAATGGGCAGAGATCCAAGATGGCCTCAAGATTCCTGCCGCCTGGGATATATGTCTTGTATAATCCTCTCCTCTTTAGTGTGGTTAGGACTTGCAAATATGAGAGAGATCATTTCAGTGGGAAAAAAAAAAAAATCAAGGAATTTTGCTGAGGTCATCAAGATCTCTATCAATTGATTCGAATTTATGAAAGAGATGATCCTTGGTAGTCCTGGTTTAATCAGGTGAGCCCTTAAAAGAATGACTTTCCCAGTGGCCTAAAGAAGAAAACTTCCACATTGTCAGAGGAAGAAGCCATGTGATAAGGATCCCAGGCAGCCCTTAAAGTCTGAAAATGACCCTCTGTCCACAGACAGAAAGAAAACGAACACCTCAGACATTCAACTGCAAGTAATTAAATTCTGCCAACAACCTGAATGGGCTTGGAAGCTCCTGATCCCCTGTCCAGGCTACAGGCCCAACTGACACCTTAAAAGTAGCCTGGGGCCAGCAGTTGGCATAATGGCTATGTCACTGAACTCCCATGTAATTGACCCCATTCGAGTCCAGGGCCCGGTGGCTTAAACTCACATCGGGCATGTGTGTGTGCGTGCCCAAGATCCTGAGAGGAGAATGGAGAAGGGACTGTAGTGTGACCATGCCCCCGAGGGACGATTTCTCACTCACTTTCTGTTTCTCCATCTCTCTCTTTCTGATGAGTGCATTCACCCTACAGCAAAAAAGAACAAAAACAAAAACAAAAACAAAAAACCAAAAAAAAAACAACCTCTCAAAAAAAAAAAAAAGTAGCCTGTTGAGACTCTGACTAAAGAACCCAGTTAACCTATGCCTAGACTCCTGGCCCACAGAAATAATGAGGTAAGTTTTTGCTATTTAAGCCACTGTGTTAATTATCATGTATAACAATAGGAGACAAATGTATAGGGAAACCCATTCAAAGATAGAGGAAATTTTGCAAGGAAGGATAAAATATGAGGACAACCAGTCAATATATACTGAGTGTCTGAACTCTATGGCAGAAACTAAAACAGTGGAAGGTGTACTAGCAGAAAGGGCAAGAATAGATGTCAGAGACTATATTGGAAAGGGTGTGGGGAAGAGGCTCATAAACAACAATAACATTTAACAGATATGGAATGGAAAGTTATCTGTTGATGATGTATATGATACTATCTTTGACTTGATTGAAATGCACTGCATGCATGCTGGGAAATACCATGTTGTGAACTGTAAAGATGTAAAATGATTATATGTAAAAGAAAAAAAATATGCAGACAAAATGCCATATATTGAAATGGTGAAGTATGAGGGAAAAACACGTTGGCAAGAAGGCAAGGGAGTGATGGTGGATACAATGCTGCTGTATTGGAACCAGGAGATGGCATAATGGTTATGTCACTGGACTCCCACCTGGGCCACTGTGGCTCAAATCTTGGACTCAGTGACTTGAAACTCACACCAGATGCATGTGTGTGCCCCAAATCTTGAGAAGAGAATGGAAAAAAAGGGATTGCAGTATAGCCATCCCCCTGAGGAGTGATTTCTAGCTTTCTGTCTCTCTGGCGAACTCACACACCCTGTAGCAAAAATCTCTCTC